TCTTAATCGGTTTAAAAATTTTAAAACACTGTTATTTTTGACAATAATAATCATCGATTGAATATAAATATTATTCTAAAATTCAGTATTTCATTTTTAAAAATTGACTGCTTCAATCCGACCCAAAAAAAAGCTCAAAGCAACGAATTCTCCCTCACACCACTCCACAGAGTAAGAAAAAATGTTTAAAGAGAAAAATCGCTCTTTACTTTGGTCTAAGAATCCCTGCGATCCTCTTCTTCCTCCTTCTTCATTTCAATGCCTTCTCGGTTTGCCCCAATTGTTTCTCCCAAATCTTCCTTTTGTTCATTGGGAATTATTTCTTTTTCAATTTCCTGTTTTACTTCTTCTTTCACAACTACTTCCTCTTCCTTTGCAGGTTCTTCTTTTTCTTCAACATTTGCGGAAGTTGATTCTTGTTCCTTTGACTCCTCTGTTTCCTCCCCAGATGGACTTACATTAGTCCACCTAGATTTTCGCCCCCTGTTTCGATTTTCTCTTTCCATGTTTTGATTGTTGGGATGTTTAATACCACCCTTTTTATCTCTGAGGTTATCTCTTTGCGAGTGGTTGTCTGAGTCAGAAGACCAGGAACCAGAAGGAAGTTCTTGATTTCTCCAAGGAGCAGCAGACTCTGGAGGAATAATAGATGGTGGGCCCATAGGGCCAAAAGGTGGTCTGACATGAGGACGAATATCATCAAAGGGAGGTCTGAAAAAGGCATCTGGTTCTCGAGGATCAAAAGGTGGTCCACGGGGACCAAAAGGCCTCATACCAGGACGAAGAGGACGAGGCCCCAAGCCTCGTGGATGGAACATTAATGGACCTAGAAAAAGAACGCTTACTGAACTCCTATTTATTATAAAAGCATAAAACCACTCGAAAGTGACTTAAGTATGAACAAAAAAATTAACAAATTTTAAATATTCTTTAACAGCTTATGAAATTGTGTAATTTTCCTTATAGAAAAAGAATTCTTCTTACCTGGTCCACGAGCTCCTATAGGTGCTGGTCGAGGTCCAAATCCGTCGGGATGTCCAGGTCTAGGTCCTCTGGGTCCCATTATTGGAGGCATCCCAAAAATAGGATCGATTCCAAAGAATTCTCGTCTCCTAGGTTCAAAATCACCTCGATCGAGATGTCCTCTTGGATCAAAACCGTCCTGAAGTCGTGGATCAAAACCATCTCGTCTGATTTCGTAATCGAAACGATCTCGATCGTCGAGCGGTCTTCTTCCTCGCACTTCAGACCTATCGAATTCCTCCCTTTGGCAAATATTTAGTCAATAATCCAATTATTTAAAATTATTGTTAGATTCTTTCAAAAAATATAGCACTAGAAATAAAATTTATATTCAGTGCTATTTATATTCAAAATGTATAATAACTCCTAACTACACATATAATAATATGTATTGGCAATACAAACAAGGAAAATCTTAAAAATTATATACAATAAATACAAATTGTGTTTTACCTTTGTTCTCTAAGTGGGCCAAGTCTACCGAAATCTTCTACTCTTTGTTGCCCATGTATCCTATTATCAAATTCTTCTTGATACATCCCTCCTTGCAACCTCGGAACATCCATATATTCCTCGTGTATCTGTGATCCCCTATGACCTCTACCAAAACTCTGCCTATCTCTTTGTTGCTGATATTCTCTTGGATCTTGAGGATTTCGAAAATCTGGAGGTCGTGCCGGGAAATCACTTCTTTCCTGGGGCAAACCAAACTTTGGCAAATCCATCAAAGAAGATAAGGGTTCACCGCGTGCTGATCGAGAATCATCAAAACTTCTATCGGATCTATCTCGATCTTGTCGATTACGAGGAATTATTCTATCGACTCGATCTTCAAGCGGAAGTGTTCCATCAGCTAATTGACGTAGGCGATCAGCCAAACTCGGTTTACCATCCTTTTTTGGAGTAGATTCATTTTCCTAAAAATAAATGTTTGTAATTTAAATCGATCGAATTATTTTATACTATTTTTCTTACTTTATAATGTTTAATACTTCTGATTAAACTAAACTTTGTTTAAGTTGTTTAAAACTTAATCAATAAAATCTTTGCTTCAACATTGTTAATTTAGTCTCCATTTAATAAGAAATAATTACCTGAAGATTCTGAGTTTGTGGATTTCCTTCCCGATTTTCTCTGTTTTCTCTTTCTCTTCTATCATCTCTATCTCTGTCTCTAAGATCTCTTCTGCGATCACGTCCTCGATCTCTTCCTCTACCTCTATCTCTCCCACGATCCATTCTGGAATCATTACCTTCTCTATCTCTGTGAGATAAGTGTGT